AGTTGTATCAATAGCGTTTCCCTATGATTTTTATAATTTTTATCACCCCCTTTCCTGGACATAGCTCTATTGCTTCCTGTTAATGGTCTAGAGCGTTATTTGTCTTTGCCTTAGCTCTGGAGCTGGCAAAGTTACTCAGTGCAGCAGGTTCCCTTAAGCTGGCAATGAGTAACAGTCATGGCAGGTCCACTTCTGTAAATGCAAAAACTAACACCTTCTGAGAAATCTTTTCCCTCACAAAAACTTCATCACTTCTGACCACTGCTTGGCTATCTGTAGAAGAATGTTAGGAATTTCGCTTAATTGTCTGCGCTGGGCTGTTTTCTCAACTGGTGAAATTAATGAGCCTTTTCAAAACTAGAGAGGTGCCTTCAGAGTGTGAATTGCTGCAACAAACACAGAGAAGCCAGCCCAAGGACAACACCAGGCGGTTATCACGGAGGCTGTGGCTGAACCTTAGGAGGTGCTACCCTGCAGGAGAATCATACTTTCTAGAGCAACCATAGAAGGGAAGTAGACAGTCCAGCTAAGCTCACTACTTCTGCTGTGCTTCTAGGAGCCAGCTATGCCAGCTGTAAAACTGAGGCAAAGACAATTTGACTAACGTCAGTGCTGACAATGAAAGAACAAAGAATTCTGATGAAAGCCAGATCTGCTCTATTAAAAAAAAATTAAATCAAATTTTAAGCATACACTCTGAAAGTCAGAACAGGATTAGTCAGGTAGATTACCAAGGAATCATTAATGGAAAAAGTTACTTAGCTGGGTCTAAGCAGAGTTACAAAGTTCTTGTAAGGGGCTCTGAGATTAACAGATCTGACCCAGATTTCTGCCCTCCCCCGCCCCCAAAATAAAATCCAGAACAGTAGTATTTACAATACGCCAGAAAGCCAGGACATTTTGAAACTAAGAGAATGTCCATGTATCTAAAGCGTAGAGTACGGATCTTGTGAACATTTAATATATTAGAAAGAGATCTGTTTTTCTAACTGGATCAGACCTGTTTTATAAGTCCAAGACATTCATGTATGTGGTCAGACTTGTGGCTAGTTACATTACCAAACTTTTCAAATCTTGTCTCAGTGCAATTAATTTGGTCACATCACTGTAAGTTTTGGTATCAATATAAAATATCATGAAAACATAATTAAACTTTACTTAAAAGAAGTGTGCTGGCATTTTCAGAAGTAGAAGCTTTGTCAGGGCATTATAATATTTTGTGTTATATTTTAAAAGCGTGTTTGCATAAGTTTTTAACTATGATGGCCAGCAAAAAAAATTTAATTTATTTCAAAAAAGTTCTGTATGCCTTTGGAAATCAGATGAATTATTTAAGTCTGTTTAGAAGCTGAATGTTATCCAGTCAAACACGCATAATTATTGCTTAATAATAATAATAATAATAATAATAATAATAGATGAATATAATCTCTACCAAAATAAAAACTGTAACAAAACAAAAAGAAAAGTATTCCCTCAGTGGTCACTTAGAAGTGCTTTACTTATTAGCTTATACACCAACCTAGCAATCAGATCACAAAATTGTGGTTGTTAGCTGATTCAATAAAAGATTAAAAAAATTGAGAATACTTTATAATTTGTTCAGATTTAAAATGTAACTGGTACACGAATGAGTCGTCTTATACTGTTATTCTCATTTTTGGCTTGGGCGATATTTGTCATGAACGATCTTCCTGTCAGACCAAATATGGAAGAACGTGAGGTATGTGTCTTCTAAATAAATAAATAAAATGTTTAAAAAACCTAAGTGGGCCTATTTACCTTTCAAATTCAACAGATTCTTGGCCATCTGTTGCTGTAACATTGATTTTCATTCCTCTTGGCATCATACCTGCTAAAGTCAGTTCATATTAATGTCAGAGATGATGCATAAAGAATAAAAAATGTGTCTGCATTTCAGCTACTGAGGCTCCGGAGGAAGGAATACAATATTAAACCAACAGATACCTGAATTCACCTAAAGAAACTCCATCTTGTCTGTGCTTCATGGGTAGCCTTCTGTTTCTACGTCTCTGAAGAGTTAATGACTGAATCAGGGTAGGAGGGGACAGCAGGTGTTTATTTTGAAGGTAAATATACTATTATGTAGCTCGTGGTCCAGTGATCAGTATGCAAGTATACGAAGACTGGGGACAGCTGTGATGTACTGTGACAAACAGCAAAGTGACGTGCTGATTGATCTGCGAGCCCAGTGGAGAAGCCAGTCAATACCAGTAAAATTCATGAAGTGTCCTCTGCCAGTTTGGCTGACACACCATTGATGCATGTCGGAGAGCTAATGTCGTTAGCCAAGCTGTACTGCAGCACCTGCCACTTCCACAAACCCATCAGTGACACCCATGGGTAAGATGGCATTTGGTTTGTGTAGCTGATGACAAACCAATCAGTCGTTTCTCAGCAATCACCAGTAGTTTCTCAGCAATCTTGCAAAGACAAAGAAATGTGTGCTCACACAGTAGTAGGCTCTCATCCTTGCACATTAAACATGCATTGACCTGGTTTACTTTAATATGTGAATGTCAAGCTTCTGTTCCTCAATCGCTAGTTTATGCAGCGGAGTTGACGCAACACAGTTTCTATATGTAATAGCCATATTTATCCTCTTTCTACTTGTCTCTGTGCACCAACCTATCAACAATTTCCTGAAATTCAGCTATTTCTTTTCTCAATATGAAATGAAACCTGATACGTAATAACATAGGAAATGAAATTATACATAATGCTGTAGGAGTGAAAACAGCAGAAAACCAAGACAAACAAATCTAACAGCAAGAAGCAACACATCTACCTTAATTAAACCCTCCCTTACGTTTTCTTCTTTATTGGGATTAATTCATTTAGGAACTGATCTTCATTTCAAGAAAGCCACCAGAAAAATCTCTCAGTGATTGCCAAAACAGAATCTAGTCCACTGGTTTTCTACCTGTTTTCTTTCATACCACCTAAAAACAAATCTAATCATATATACCAGCAGAAGAACAAAATGTGAGATTGCATCATTTTCACAGCAGATGAGAACACTTCATATCTCTAACAACAAGGTGCTTTAGAGGAAGTGCATAAAAACACACACTTGCAGCATCCTTTCCGGGGTAAAACAACAGGAATTTTCACTCCCAGAATCAAATTCTGCTGGTGACTGGACTCCCAACATCCCATAAAACCTCCCTGAGTCATCAAATTCAGACCAAGAAACTGACTGCAGGTATGGAATTCAAGATGACCTGTTTTCCCCTGGTTACATTTTTGTCAAACATCCATTGGCTAACACCCTCAAGCATGGAGCTTTGACATCACTTTAAAACCTCACCTGTATTGTTTTCATACTTACTTTCAGAATTGGGTATTATAATTTTCCCTCTAAAGGTCAAATCCCTGAATGAAACTTGTTTGGGCAGAGTCTCAGAAGATAAGGGTTGCAAAAGTTTGTATCCCAAGTTGTCTGGCTGAGATAAAGAGCAATAAAGTTCCTCTTGGCCTGTAAACTGTTATGGCAGATAACTTCTAAGATAAAGCTTCATTTGATGTGGAAAATGTTGGAACAAACTGAATATGTTTAAATGATGATTACGGACTTTCAAGACTCCTATTGAGATCAACAACATTTTGTAGCAGAACTGCCCTAAACTTAGTAACTGGTTGAGGAAGAAAGGTGTGACTATAAATGAACCTGTTGGAAAACCATTGTCACCATCTTCACTGCATGCTGAGACTCAAGATATTGCCATCACAGTGCTGGGCCTCTGTTCTCCCTATCCTGACAATCTGGTTAGAACAAGGAGTCACATCCATCTCCATCAGGGGTGGCTAAATCCTGAGCAACATCTAAGAAATGAAGTTCCCGCTCAAATGAGCTAAAATCTTCTCTCACCTTATTCTTTCCACACTTTCCATTTTCTGTTCTCCACCAAAAAGAAAAGAGCAGAAAACGTTATTGTCCCTCAACAGCACTGCTGACTTACTCCTCTTTCCCCAGTAGAACTTCAGGGGTCTGACAAAAGGAAGGAGCTGAAGGGAGAGGGGAGCTTAAAAAAATTTGGAGGGAAGGCCAGCTAAGATAAGAAAGGGATGACCGAAATCATTGTGGGAGTCTGAGGTGACAGAGCAAGCAAGGAAAACATTCAATTTGTCATGAGCAGCTCAATGTAGCAGGAGGAAAAACCACGCATGTTTTGGACAGAGGATATATTACTTGTTGCAGTAATCTTAGAAAATTTACTCAGCTTCAGCATAAATACCTGATCTGTGGTACAGTGGTATATAAATTCGAAAGCAGGATGGTTGACTGCAGCCTCTTCCTCTGACCTGGATAAAAGGGCTTGTGTTGTACAGCTTAGCAACACGGCAGCTTTTCCAGACTTCCAGGGGATGTTAGTTCAATCACTGCTGAATTCAATTCACTAACTTTTCTGCTGTGGGCATGACATGTCTGTAAATGCTGCTTTTTCTGTGCCTATTCATTGAGGAATCCTCCAGGCCCAGTAAAGGAGCCACCAGTACCGTAAGTGGTTGTAGAAGAGGAAAGGAAAGCATGGGTAAAATGGCATGGGAAATGAAAGAGTAAAGAAAACTAGAAGAAAAATAGCCAAGATGTTAGCATTAATATTCTGAAACACCCTTTTGAAGGGAGGATGAAGGGAAGAGTGAATTAAATTTTTGGAGTAATATATCATATAGTTTCTGATAGACCAATTACAGAATCTGAATAAAACAACAGTTTTCTTTTTGGGGAGGTAAAGGGAAAAATTGTTTTATTTTTAACTTCAGAAGTAAATGGATCATCTTCTCTATGTAACATTCAAGGTTAGCTTTTTTAGCATTCCTGCCTCAGTCAAAACCAGAAGATCTAATTTCAAGAATGTTTGAAGAGCTTTTAGAAATAAGAAATACCAGTACTGCCTCTGCTTTCAGAATATCACAGAACAGTTATTAAATTACAAAAACATATCACAGAATAAGCTAGAATTCACGAAGCTTACCTTCCTACGATGAGATGGCACAATAAAATATGTTTCAATATTATGCTTCTTCAAGAAACTATTCCTTTCATGACCATATCCTGGTTCTACCTCGTAGTCCCCATTTAGGCACTCTAAGGTGGTCTTTGTAATGTGAACTTTCCTGCAGAGAAAAATAGGACATTGTTGTTTAAAGCACAGATACATTATGAGCTAGTTGCTCCTGAAATACACTCCTGTGTAGAAGATCATAGAGAGGTCAATTTACGTGCAAACCCCTATTTTTGATGTAAAAAAATCATTTTGTTTTGTTTTTTCAGCCAAATAGAACATAGAAATATTTCTATTACATGCATTTTCTAAACTTGAGCAGAGTGAACAGCAAGATCACTGTTGACCATCCAAACACGTGCAGATTTGTTGATTTGTAGAAAGTGAAAGTCTGCACATCATCTTCTACATTTTGTGGCCTTCTTAAGTGTTTGCCTCACTGCCTGCTTGGAAAAACATCCTGCTGTTTGAAACTTGTGACGTCACACTCTGAATCTCTCCTGTGCATAAAGAAGAAACTTCTTTTTCCTCTATTAGACATGTGTTCAGATTTTTTTCACTGGAAAGCCTTAAGGTAAGGAAAATACAAAATACACTGCCAATATTGGCTAAGGCAGACATACGTAACAATCAGAAATTCACTCATCTTAACCACAAAGATTAAGAGGTTCTATCATCCCCCTGTTCAGCAAATCATGTTCTTCTAAAAATCCAACAGAGGATGGTAGGCCCCAGTCCAAATGTGGTTGCACACAGAAGCACACCCGTGCACCTTTGCGAGAGTACACTGTGCTTTTAAACTGGGTCCAAGGAGTACTTAATTCCAGGAGGTGCCCCAGGGGTTGGCTGCAGGTTTATGTGCTACTGTATCATTTGCACAGACACCATCAATATCTGAGTGCATAAACAGGTGTTTTTTTCTATAGCATACTACTAGTGTTGGAAATCTTGCCATGTAAAAGCAGTAAGGCACACACCCCCCACGTGTAGAGGTGCAAGGGTAAGCATTTCCTGGAATAACTAGACGGTTTTATTTTTATAACACGAAGTGGTAAAAGCCTAGCATTCCTACATCCCCAGCATTGCCTCATTCCTACTCTTTATATTTGGCAGCTTCTAATGAGGATTTTATCCGGGAATGTTTTGCTTCTAATCTAACCTATTACTAATGTAAATATCAAGATCATTTGGAGAAATCCACAGGATAAATCAGATAGTACGTTAGTTGCTCTTACCAAACACAACCTTTCTTATCAATAGCAATTACAGTGCAAATGCCTTAAAGAAGGAATTAAGTTCTTCACCCATACAGGTTTCTGTTTCTTTTTCTATGGTTCTTTCTCAGACTTACCCAGGCAGTCCTCCAGCTTCCATTACATTAGCTAAAGTCACATCATTTGACCAGACATCATATTGCCATTTTCGGAGACCCAGCACCCCACAAAGCACCCTGCCTGTATGCAATCCAACTCTCATGTTGAGATCAACCTCTGTGGCTTCTGCAACAGACCTGGAATACACAGCATCAGAATATTAGTCTTTACACAATGACATTGCTCTTGATTTTCTTCTTCTCTCCTTCCCCCAAAGTTAACATATATATACATGACTGAATAGACAGGATCTTTTAAAAATCTCAAATTATGTATTCGGGTACTGTTCTTTTTCTTCACTAGTTTCAAAGCCCCAGTTGTAATTCAAAAGAAATAATTTTCTTGGTCATATTTTAATTACTGTTGAACCAAAATCTTAGTATTTCTAAATTTTTTGACCTAATACATACAAATTTAATTTTCCAGGTTTCAAGGAAACCCAGAAAAGGTTATGTTTTGTTACATTTAATAAAAGAAAAAAGAAATAAACTGACAATAAAGGAAGTGTAGTAAATGGTTTTGTCACGAAACTTCCCCAAGACTATATACCTTTTAGGTTTTATTTGCCACTTTTGCAGTACTTGCTATCGTCCTACAGAAACTTAGATATTTTACTGGGAGATAAACAAAGAACTTTCTGGCTGTAACTCAAATAACTCAGAGACAGCCAGCTTAACTTCTGCACTTCCCTGTTTATCTTGCAACTCACATATTTACTTTTTTTTTGTCATAAATGTTCCTGTTTCCCAGTGCGTATTTATTTCAGCAGGATGACAAGCAACCACAGCGCGATTGTTGGAATCAAAAGAAGATTTTTTTAAACTATCTTATTCAGTTTAATTTTAACCTGACATGTAAGTAAGCAAACATGTTTCAATTCTACCATTACTCCAGACTGCTTTCAACTCAGTATTAAAATGGGCTACCTGGCTTCTTCTTTTTACCAAAAAATCTCTGTTAATGTTTCTCCTTACCCTAGCCTTGGGTTTACTGGTTGGTAGATTTTTCTCTAAATCTTTTTTTCCCCCCCCCCCCCCCCATCACTCATATAAAGATCATGCCTGATCCTATATGGGCTAACTGAATTTCCTCATGAAGTAGTTTAATATTAAACACTAAGGAAAAGATTGGTCTTGTGAGTAAAATAAAAGCTTGAGTCACTCAAGACTTGCATTTAATTTCTCTCCTCTTTTACCACAGTTTGTTGTGACTCAAACTAATTTTATCCTCCTTCAGTTCTCCATCTTTAATATCAAAATAATACTTTCTTTTCCTTACTTGTTTTGTTTGCAGTGGCTTGATCTCAAGGTAATAGTGTAAAATATTTAATTTGTAATTAAAATAATATAACATAATCTGATATGGACCCCAACACTTCCTCTCTGTGCAGCACAGAGGGTTAAAAATAATCAAAATATTTAATAATTAAGTTATTGTCTTATTTATGTTGTCACAGTTTAGATTTGTGATGTTCTCTAAGTTCACCATTTAATTAAATTCCACTTGAATGAAAACCTACTCAGTTAAAAATTAACATTTTTTTTCCCCCAAGTGTCTCAGACTTTCAGTCTTCTTGAATGATACTTATTTAGTATTTAATGATATTATTTCAACTGATATTTTCACCCTGTGCTACTGCTAGGAAACTATTGCAACTACTAGTAATCACACAGAGTTGTGCTGCACCTTTACCTTTATGGTATGTTCAGCTAAGCATCATCTTCTATGGTGAGACTGAAAGGACACAGACTTATATTTAAACACTTTTACAGTTTCTGCGAGAAAAGAGGCATGAAGAGGTACTAGTTGAGAAGGTAAATGGATAAGCAATGACTCCACTCTACTATGTTCTAATCAGTTCAATTACCCAGTTACAGGAGTACAGGGCAAAGAAAATGATGAAACCAATCAATCAGTGCAAGACAGCAGATGAAGAGTGTTCATAAACACTAATATCTTTCCAAAGCTCCTGCAAGAGTGGCACAGAAACCACCGGTAAGTATGGACTTGCACCTGTAAATGAAATCTATCCTTCAGAGATTTTTCACTGTGTAGCTGGGAAAGGAAGAATTAATTGGCAAAGTCATTAGTAAAAAGCATTTTTAATTTTGGTGCCACAGTAAGGAAGGATTCTTCATTTCTGTGAATGTGGGCCATGATGTAACTCACACCCTGCACGGACTTGTGAACACCGAAAAGGAGCCTTGAAGCTAATAGTCTTACACATTACATGCAGAGATAACACTGCACATAAATCTTTGTAGCTCTTTCTGTTACAGAGAGAGCTGGCATTCCACAGTTAAGTTGCAGTCTAAAAAGAGATAATATTGGTAAATAAATGACATGGACTTGATTTTCATTAGCTTTTTAAAATTTAAATTTTCCAATGCATTTAACAGGAGAAGACCTTAAACTGAGGCTCTGGCTATAATTTTCCGTTGATCTTCATTGACTAATATATTTTCTAAAGTATCATCCGGCTACACTGGATTTGGCAGAGAGGTCTTTAGGAGGACTCTTCAACTCTTTCAGGAGCAGTTACTGTATTTGTCTCTTGTATAGTTGTACTTGATTAAGTACAATTAACAGAAAGGGCAGCATAGGTCAAGATGTGGGTTGAGCAGCACAAGATACCTGGCCTCAACTTAAGTAAGGAACTCTGCAGCCATGAAGTGCTGAAGTATATACCATGTTGGCCATCACTAATGTGAGTAATGTGGAGATATCTTTTGTCCCCATAGGGAATCTGGGCATACCACAGTCATATTTTATGCAACAGCACAGAAAGGCTTATGCACAGCTTTCTGAAAGATTAAATATTTCCGTGTTCCATTTCTACTCACTGCAAGTCAGCTTTCCTTTATTCAGTATCTGTTCCCAGTCAAGCCTCAAAAATGACTCCAAGGAGTCCTAAAAGGACTTGAGTGTTACAGGGCTTGTTGTGCACACTGTCTGCTTGACAAAGCCTTGAGGAAACGAAAGGAGCTAATGATATAAGCCACCTAGTGATAACTTAACCTTTGTATCTTCACCTGTGCGTGTGTATGTGCCATTAACAGACTGACCTTACAGCAAGACCATACCCTGCAAACCAAAGCCCTTCAGGATTACACCTTGCTTGCCTGTCTATGTTCTCCCGCATAACTAAGTACCTACGTAATTATCTTCATCGCCGAACCTGCAAGTGTGTGAGTTTCTCTGCTTGCAAATGAATGTTGGGGTTTTTTACCCATTTAAAACAGTATATAAAACCTCAGGCTAAATGTAACTGGAAAGAGAGTGAAACTCAGACATTGATAAAGACCACCCCAAACATTTGACCTTGCTTTATCCCAACTGGCTTGAGAGAGAGGGGGAAATGTCATCTGCTTTTAGAAATTTAAATAGCGTAACAAAAAGTAAACGAAAGGAAATGAGCAGAGAAATACAACATGGCCGATCATATTCCTTGTTAAATAAGCTGGACTGTATAATGTACCAATGAACCCTAAAGCAGAATCTCACAGCTCATGTTTTGAACAAAAGATTTCCAGAAGTAGTCACTCAGTAAAAAATTTAAATCGAGAACTCAATTACATTTTCCCCAGAAACTACAGTGTGTTTCAGGGATGTTTTCGCCATTATTAAATTTGAGTAGGCAGAAAAGCTCATCAACAGTTCATTAAACTTTCTGAATTTACCGTGAATACCTGTATGACCTTTATGCAGTTAATTTCCATGAATATACCCCACTGAACTATCAAAAATGAGGAATGTTAAGTAATATATAAAGAATAGGCTTCAAATATAAAATCAGAGCAGTACCACAATCATATTCCCGAGCAACATCAACATTTCTGCACTAAAATATCACATAAGTGTCCAATGATGCATTTTAAATTATAGATACATTTCTGAAAAAAATACTAGCACTTCACAAACAAGCCATGAATAGGATAAAGAAGTTTCTCAAATAAATTATTAATTACAACTTACTCTCTCCTAGATTCAGATATAATATACTCAAAAGTTTTCCAAATGTTAACACAAAAGTAGGCCCAGAAACAAATGGAAATTGAAAAATATTTTCTTTTTAAACTAGAAGTGTGCAGAGTCCATGTAAGTGACTAATAAGATGACCATCTACCTTGACAGCTCAAGTACCCTACCAAGCCTTTAAATTTTAGTTCTCTCCTTAGCTACAAATATTTCATGTGCTGCTACAAACCATCAAAGTCATTTAGATCATCTGCAGAACAGCTCCAGACCTGTGCTGCATTTGAAGGAAAAAAAACAGGGCTCTGCATCCCATTTCTTATAAGTTATTCAGGGCTTTTCTTTAGGTCCAAAAATACCTGCATAGAAATAGATGTTTCCCAGTTAAAGGCATAGACCAGATTCTTGGTTCAGTTCCCTACGTTCGCTTTTTCTATACGCACGGTTCTAAGATGAGCGTGCCCTGTAATGTCGCACATGTCCCTACACACTTCTGTGTCAGCTCCACTTCAACTGCGTCAGGACTCGGTCAGTCCTCGGACGTCGGTGACGAAGACTCTCCCTCCGCGGAGCGCTCTGCCAGCCCGGCAGGCCGCGGCAGGAGAGGCTGCCGGCCATGGCCCCGCAGCGCCCGTAGGCCAGGCCCCTTGCCCTCTCTGCGGTTTGGCGGCCATGTTAGGCCTCTCAGGCAATTAAGTTTCGTTGTCTGAAAACCTTTGCTGTCCTGTTTTCGGCAGCTGTTTCTCCAGGTCAGGTTTGGGGTTTTTTGGTTTGTTTGGGTTTTCGTGGTGGTTTTTTTTTTCTTAAATATATTGACCAGAGCTGCATGCTTTCCCAGTACGTTGCTCACCTGGAGCACGGCAGCAGAGAGCCAGGGCTGTGAAGGTCTGATGGCTTCAGCAGTCAAGAGGCTCCCTTTCACAGAGGTGCAAGCTGGCTAAGCCTTCACCAATGGTAGGCAGCTTTCTCCACTGCTGAAAATGCAGTTGCTGGTTCTCCCAGAATTCAAGGTCAACTCACTCCTGCCAGTCCAAACTTTCCCAGGCCCTGGACCTCTGGAGGACCAGGGGAAAAGCATCAACAGTGTTGATGTCAGAAAAGTTAGTCTTCTTCCTCAGACAAAAGATCACGTGGGAAAACTTGACATTTCAGTTGGGCTTCC